AGTCCTAGTGCGACAGTCCTATTTTGAGTCCTAATGTGTGTCCTAGTGTGAGTCCTAGTGTGACAGTCCTAGTGTGAGTCCTAGTGCGAGAGTCCTAGTGTGAGTCCTAGTGCGAGAGTCCTATTTTGAGTCCTAATGTGTGTCCTAGTGTGAGTCCTAGTGTGACAGTCCTAGTGTGAGTCCTAGTGTGACAGTCCTAGTGTGACAGTCCTAGTGTGAGTCCTAGTGTGAGTCCTAGTGTGAGAGTCCTAGTGTGAGTCCTAGTGTGAGAGTCCTAGTGTGAGTCCTAGTGTGAGAGTCCTAGTGTGAGTCCTAGTGCGAGAGTCCTAGTGTGAGTCCTAGTGCGAGAGTCCTAGTGTGAGTCCTAGTGTGAGAGTCCTAGTGTGAGTCCTAGTGCGAGAGTCCTAGTGTGAGAGTCCTAGTGTGAGAGTCCTAGTGTGAGAGTCCTAGTGTGAGTCCTAGTGTGAGTCCTAGTGTGAGTCCTAGAGTGAGAGTCCTAGTGTGAGTCCTAGTGCGAGAGTCCTAGTGTGAGTCCTAGAGTGAGAGTCCTAGTGTGAGAGTCCTAGTGCGAGAGTCCTAGAGTGAGAGTCCTAGTGTGAGTCCTAGTGTGAGAGTCCTAGTGTGAGTCCTAGTGCGAGAGTCCTAGTGCGAGAGTCCTAGTGTGAGAGTCCTAGTGTGAGAGTCCTAGTGTGAGAGTCCCAGTGTGCGAGTCCTAGTACGACAGTCCTATTTTGAGTCCTAATGTGTGTCCTAGTGTAAGTCCTTGTGTGAGAGTCCTAGTGTGAGTCCTAGAGTGAGAGTCCTAGAGTGAGAGTCCTAGTGCGAGAGTCCTAGAGTGAGAGTCCTAGTGTGAGTCCTAGTGTGAGAGTCCTAGTGTGAGTCCTAGTGCGAGAGTCCTAGTGTGAGAGTCCTAGTGTGAGAGTCCTAGTGTGAGAGTCCTAGTGTGAGAGTCCTAGTGTGAGAGTCCCAGTGTGCGAGTCCTAGTACGACAGTTCTATTTTGAGTCCTAATGTGTGTCCTAGTGTAAGTCCTTGTGTGAGAGTCCTAGTGCGAGTCCAAGTGTGAGAGTCCTAGTGTGAGAGTCCTAGTGTGAGTCCTAGTGTGAGTCCTAGAGTGAGAGTCCTAGTGTGAGTCCTAGTGCGAGAGTCCTAGTGTGAGTCTTAGAGTGAGAGTCCTAGTGTGAGTCCTAGAGTGAGAGTCCTAGTGTGAGAGTCCTAGTGCGAGAGTCCTAGAGTGAGAGTCCTAGTGTGAGTCCTAGTGTGAGAGTCCTAGTGTGAGTCCTAGTGCGAGAGTCCTAGTGTGAGAGTCCTAGTGTGAGAGTCCTAGTGTGAGAGTCCTAGTGTGAGAGTCCTAGTGTGAGAGTCCCAGTGTGCGAGTCCTAGTGCGACAGTCCTATTTTGAGTCCTAATGTGTGTCCTAGTGTAAGTCCTTGTGTGAGAGTCCTAGTGCGAGTCCAAGTGTGAGAGTCCTAGTGTGAGAGTCCTAGTGCGAGAGTCCCAGTGTGCGAGTCCTAGTGCGACAGTCCTATTTTGAGTCCTAATGTGTGTCCTAGTGTGAGTCCTAGTGTGACAGTCCTAGTGTGAGTCCTAGTGCGAGAGTCCTAGTGTGAGTCCTAGTGCGAGAGTCCTATTTTGAGTCCTAATGTGTGTCCTAGTGTGAGTCCTAGTGTGACAGTCCTATTGTGAGTCCTAGTGTGAGTCCTAGTGTGACAGTCCTAGTGTGAGTCCTAGTGTGACAGTCCTAGTGTGAGTCCTAGTGTGAGTCCTAGTGTGAGAGTCCTAGTGTGAGAGTCCTAGTGTGAGAGTCCTAGTGTGAGAGTCCCAGTGTGCGAGTCCTAGTGCGACAGTCCTATTTTGAGTCCTAATGTGTGTCCTAGTGTGAGTCCTAGTGTGACAGTCCTAGTGTGAGTCCTAGTGTGATTCCTAGTGTGACAGTCCTAGTGTGAGTCCTAGTGTGAGTCCTAGTGTGACAGTCCTAGTGTGAGTCCTAGTGTGAGAGTCCTAGTGTGAGAGTCCTAGTGTGAGTCCTAGTGTGAGTCCTAGTGTGAGAGTCCTAGTGTGAGTCCTAGTGTGAGTCCTAGTGTGAGTCCTAGTGTGACAGTCCTAGTGTGAGTCCTAGTGTGAGTCCTAGTGTGACAGTCCTAGTGTGAGTCCTAGTGTGAGTCCTAGTGTGACAGTCCTAGTGTGAGTCCTAGTGTGAGTCCTAGTGTGAGAGTCCTAGTGTGAGAGTCCTAGTGTGAGTCCTAGTGCGAGTCCTAGTGCGACAGTCCTATTTTGAGTCCTAATGTGTGTCCTAGTGTGAGTCCTAGTGTGACAGTCCTAGTGTGAGTCCTAGTGTGAGTCCTAGTGTGACAGTCCTAGTGTGAGTCCTAGTGTGAGTCCTAGTGTGACAGTCCTAGTGTGAGTCCTAGTGTGAGTCCTAGTGTGAGAGTCCTAGTGTGAGAGTCCTAGTGTGAGTCCTAGTGTGAGAGTCCTAGTGTGAGTCCTAGTGTGAGAGTCCTAGTGTGAGTCCTAGTGCGAGAGTCCTAGTGTGAGAGTCCTAGTGTGAGAGTCCTAGTGTGAGAGTCCTAGTGTGAGAGTCCTAGTGTGAGAGTCCCAGTGTGCGAGTCCTAGTGCGACAGTCCTATTTTGAGTCCTAATGTGTGTCCTAGTGTAAGTCCTTGTGTGAGAGTCCTAGTGCGAGTCCAAGTGTGAGAGTCCTAGTGTGAGAGTCCTAGTGCGAGAGTCCCAGTGTGCGAGTCCTAGTGCGACAGTCCTATTTTGAGTCCTAATGTGTGTCCTAGTGTGAGTCCTAGTGTGACAGTCCTAGTGTGAGTCCTAGTGCGAGAGTCCCAGTGTGCGAGTCCTAGTGCGACAGTCCTATTTTGAGTCCTAATGTGTGTCCTAGTGTGAGTCCTAGTGTGACAGTCCTAGTGTGACAGTCCTAGTGTGATTCCTAGTGTGACAGTCCTAGTGTGAGTCCTAGTGTGAGTCCTAGTGTGACAGTCCTAGTGTGAGTCCTAGTGTGAGAGTCCTAGTGTGAGAGTCCTAGTGTGAGTCCTAGTGTGAGTCCTAGTGTGAGAGTCCTAGTGTGAGTCCTAGTGTGAGTCCTAGTGTGAGTCCTAGTGTGACAGTCCTAGTGTGAGTCCTAGTGTGAGTCCTAGTGTGACAGTCCTAGTGTGAGTCCTAGTGTGAGTCCTAGTGTGACAGTCCTAGTGTGAGTCCTAGTGTGAGTCCTAGTGTGAGAGTCCTAGTGTGAGAGTCCTAGTGTGAGTCCTAGTGCGAGTCCTAGTGCGACAGTCCTATTTTGAGTCCTAATGTGTGTCCTAGTGTGAGTCCTAGTGTGACAGTCCTAGTGTGAGTCCTAGTGTGAGTCCTAGTGTGACAGTCCTAGTGTGAGTCCTAGTGTGAGTCCTAGTGTGACAGTCCTAGTGTGAGTCCTAGTGTGAGTCCTAGTGTGAGAGTCCTAGTGTGAGAGTCCTAGTGTGAGTCCTAGTGTGAGAGTCCTAGTGTGAGTCCTAGTGTGAGAGTCCTAGTGTGAGTCCTAGTGCGAGAGTCCTAGTGTGAGAGTCCTAGTGTGAGAGTCCTAGTGTGAGAGTCCTAGTGTGAGAGTCCTAGTGTGAGAGTCCCAGTGTGCGAGTCCTAGTGCGACAGTCCTATTTTGAGTCCTAATGTGTGTCCTAGTGTAAGTCCTTGTGTGAGAGTCCTAGTGCGAGTCCAAGTGTGAGAGTCCTAGTGTGAGAGTCCTAGTGCGAGAGTCCCAGTGTGCGAGTCCTAGTGCGACAGTCCTATTTTGAGTCCTAATGTGTGTCCTAGTGTGAGTCCTAGTGTGACAGTCCTAGTGTGAGTCCTAGTGCGAGAGTCCTAGTGTGAGTCCTAGTGCGAGAGTCCTATTTTGAGTCCTAATGTGTGTCCTAGTGTGAGTCCTAGTGTGACAGTCCTATTGTGAGTCCTAGTGTGAGTCCTAGTGTGACAGTCCTAGTGTGAGTCCTAGTGTGACAGTCCTAGTGTGAGTCCTAGTGTGAGTCCTAGTGTGAGAGTCCTAGTGTGAGAGTCCTAGTGTGAGAGTCCTAGTGTGAGAGTCCCAGTGTGCGAGTCCTAGTGCGACAGTCCTATTTTGAGTCCTAATGTGTGTCCTAGTGTGAGTCCTAGTGTGACAGTCCTAGTGTGAGTCCTAGTGTGATTCCTAGTGTGACAGTCCTAGTGTGAGTCCTAGTGTGAGTCCTAGTGTGACAGTCCTAGTGTGAGTCCTAGTGTGAGAGTCCTAGTGTGAGAGTCCTAGTGTGAGTCCTAGTGTGAGTCCTAGTGTGAGAGTCCTAGTGTGAGTCCTAGTGTGAGTCCTAGTGTGAGTCCTAGTGTGACAGTCCTAGTGTGAGTCCTAGTGTGAGTCCTAGTGTGACAGTCCTAGTGTGAGTCCTAGTGTGAGTCCTAGTGTGACAGTCCTAGTGTGAGTCCTAGTGTGAGTCCTAGTGTGAGAGTCCTAGTGTGAGAGTCCTAGTGTGAGTCCTAGTGCGAGTCCTAGTGCGACAGTCCTATTTTGAGTCCTAATGTGTGTCCTAGTGTGAGTCCTAGTGTGACAGTCCTAGTGTGAGTCCTAGTGTGAGTCCTAGTGTGACAGTCCTAGTGTGAGTCCTAGTGTGAGTCCTAGTGTGACAGTCCTAGTGTGAGTCCTAGTGTGAGTCCTAGTGTGAGAGTCCTAGTGTGAGAGTCCTAGTGTGAGTCCTAGTGTGAGAGTCCTAGTGTGAGAGTCCTAGTGTGAGTCCTAGTGTGAGTCCTAGTGTGAGTCCAAGTGCGAGTCCTAGTGCGAGTCCTAGTGCGACAGTCCTATTTTGAGTCCTAATGTGTGTCCTAGTGTGAGTCCTTGTGCAAGAGTCCTAGTGTGAGAAAAAACGCTGAAGTTGGTGGATGAGAATAACTTTTTCTACGTGAACACAGATGCACTCAGTGAGATCAATGCCATGCCGTCAGTTGTTGATGACATTCCTTCAGTCTTATGTGTCGTGTCTTATGTGTGTTTTTCAGGATGAAGACTCCAGCCGAGCGCCGGGCCGAGATCTGTGAAGACTTCTCTCCCTGCCGTCTGCTTGCGCTCCGCTTCGGCTCACAGCTGGCCTATCAAACGTATTTCAACGCTCAGCAGCACAGGCCCAGCCCACATCTGCGTCCGTACTGAGCCCCGCCTCTGACTCAATGAAACCGTTGAGCTCCGCCTCCGACCCCGCCTCCGACTCAATGAAGCTGCTTCATTTAACCTGTTGACTGTCACATATTTTATTAATTTTTAGAAAATAGGTGTCATTGGAAAGCTTAAACACTTGAAATTCATCCAGGGAAAACTTTTTTAATATTGGACATTATGTTGCCATGGAAATGCACCTTAAAATATTTTATCAGCAAAATATGAAACGTTTAGTTCAGAACATTTACTTTGTCTGCTTGCTATTAACTTTCTGACCAACCAAAGCATTCATGAATTGCAACTATTTGAGTATGGATCTATGTTTATAAAGAGAGGTGACAGTTTACAGGTTAAATAATCATTTATATATCAGTTTAACCCTATTCACACACACACACACACACACACATATATATATATATATCCTTTTGTGCCATGCATACGTTACTAACGTCCTCTCGTTCAATGACAATGGGTCAGTTTGCCCAGATATTAACACAATACTGACAATTTCTCTTTTGTTTAAGCATTAAAAGAAGTTCGGTATTTTATACTTATAGACCTTTTTTAAGATTGTTTCTGATGAAATAGAATGGTTAAGATTAACATTTGGACACAAGCTGTTGTCCCGAGAATTTCTGTGTGAGCACTACATCACACCCCTCTTTTTTGTGAGCATATCAGTGGACACCCCAGACCACTCGGTGAGTTTAATGAAGGGTTGTTCCAGTGCTCCTATGCAACCATTGTGGAGGTGGGGGTCAGGGGGTGCAACCACAGAAACAGACAATTCTCAGGACAACAGCTTGTGTCCAAATGTCAATCTAAACCCTTCTATTTCATCAGAAACGATCTTAAAACAGGGCTTTAAGTGTAAAATAAAATTTATTCAAAGCTGAGTTCATGACTGCAAATGTTTTTCTTAATAGATTCAATTTAAAAAATGAACCTAATGTGAGGACTAAAATGTTGAAGCCATGTGTTTCACAAGAGAGTCGTATATGATGCTGTTTTTTAATCTGTCTTTGTTTATCAATAAAGCGCTTTCACAAGTCAGCTCCTGCAAACCTGGGCCTTCGTCTGCTCGTTATTCCAGCTGACCTCAGTGTGTGTGTGTGTGTGCCTCTCGGAGATCCACGTGTACACACAGTTATTCTGAGATCGCACTGATCTTTCACAGACTCCGGCCACTGCAGCTGCGCGACTCAGACGAGGAAATTACACATAGGGAGTCCAAGAGCACGGACTGCAGAGCAGAAATACTCTTTCTGAAGGGCTCATGTCGGCAACTGGAGCCTCGGCCAAAGTCATGAGCTCCAGAACAGTCCAGCGGCGGCGTGTGTGTGTGTGTGTGTTAAGTGCAGTCCAGCCGCGGCGTGTGTTAAGTGCAGTCCAGCCGCGGCGTGTGTTAAGTGCAGTCCAGCCGCGGCGTGTGTGTGTGTGTTCAGCGCAGTCCAGCGGCGGCGTGTGTGTGTTCAGCGCAGTCCAGCGGCGGTGTGTATGTGTGTGTGTGTTCAGCGCAGTCCAGCGGTGGTGTGTGTGTGTGTGTGTGTGTGTGTTCAGCGCAGTCCAGCGGCGGTGTGTGTGTGTGTGTGTTCAGCGCAGTCCAGCCGCGGCGTGTGTGTTAAGTGCAGTCCAGCCGCGCTTGTGTGTGTGTGTGTTCAGTGCAGTCCAGCCGCGGCGTGTGTGTTCAGTGCAGTCCAGCGGCGGTGTGTGTGTGTGTTCAGCGCAGTCCAGCCGCGCCGTGTGTGTGTGTGTGTGTTCAGTGCAGTCCAGCCGCGGCTTGTGTGTGTGTGTTAAGTGCAGTCCAGCGGCGGCGTGTGTGTGTGAGGAGCGTCCAGGTGCCGGGAACACAGGAGCCTCAGATGCTCTCGGCAGTGAACTGCGCCGCCGGACGAGCCTCTGTAATTAAAGTCTTTATATGAAGCGTTTATGAAGCGGTTTCCTAAGCTGACGAGCCGCTCGCACGCAACAGCGATATGTGGAGTTTGAGGAGTTTGTGATCAGGTGAACAGCGTCGTGTGTGTGTGAGGAGACAGTCGGAGTGTGTGGATATTCCTTGGTGTTGCTGGCATCCATAAACATGCATTACTGCCATCTGCTGTTTATTATCGTGTCACTTCATACTTATTTTCGTCTTTCCAGTCCAGTCCTCTTTAGAAAATAAAAGAAATATTTCTTTACTTGTTCACCTTTTCCATATTCTAATGTATTTTTTACACTATAATGTCCTATACTAATGTCTTGTAAATGATGTTTCAACTCTTGTTTTCTTGTGTAAATGTCCTGCATGACATTCAGGTTAGGGTTAAGTTATGGTCAGGATAGGGTTAGGGTTAAGTTAGGGTTAAGTTAGGGTCAGATTAGGGTTAGGGTTAAGTTAGGGTCAGATTAGGGTTAGGGTTAGGGTACACGTGACTGACTGGTTCCTCTTCTTGACATTCATCACATTGTCCTGTGGGACGTTTTCCTTTGAAACACTTCCTATTTGACATCTCTATTATAATACCTACTTTATTTTGAATCCTTATCTATAGATGTCTTCCCCTTCTGATTTTGACCATTTCATTTCAATGTCAACATGCTCTTTTTTGTTGCCTTTTATCAACTTTCTCCTTTCCCTGTATGCCCACATGTGCTGGTCTCCACATTTATATATTTATGTATATATACAAGGACCCTTGAATTTATAAACAAGATTTCAGAATATTTCTTGATGAGTAGCTTTTCTAGTCTTCATACTCATAAGAGCTGATACATCTCCTGACCCCATCTCCCTGACCCCATCTCCTAACCCTGACCCCATCTCCTGACCCCATCTCCCTGACCCATCTCCCTGACCCCATCTCCTAACCCTGACCCTGACCCCATCTCCTAACCCTGACCCCATCTCCTAACCCTGACCCATCTACCTAACCCTGACCCCATCTCCTAACCCTGACCCCATCTACCTAACCCTGACCCCATCTCCCTGACCCCATCTCCTAACCCTGACCCTGACCCCATCTCCTAACCCTGACCCCATCTCCTAACCCTGACCCCATCTCCCTGACCCTGACCCCATCTCCCTGACCCTGACCCCATCTCCTAACCCTGACCCCATCTCCCTGACCCCATCTCCCTGACCCTGACCCCATCTCCTAACCCTGACCCCCATCTCCCTGACCCCATCTCCTAACCCTGACCCCATCTCCCTGACCCTGACCCCATCTCCTAACCCTGACCCCATCTCCCTGACCCTATCTCTCTAACCCTGACCCCATCTCCCTGACCCTGACCCCATCTCCCTGACCCTATCTCTCTAACCCTGACCCCCTAACCCTGACCCCATCTCCCTGACCCTGACCCCATCTCCCTGACCCTGACCCCATCTCCCTGACCCCATCTCCTAACCCTGACCCCATCTCCTAACCCTGACCCCATCTCCTAACCCTGACCCCATCTCCCTGACCCTGACCCCATCTCCTAACCCTGACCCCATCTCCCTGACCCCATTTCCCTGACCCTGACCCCATCTCCCTGACCCTGACCCCTAACCCTGACCCCATCTCCCTAACCCTGACCCCATCTCCCTGACCCTGACCCCATCTCCTAACCCTGACCCCATCTCCCTGACCCCATCTCCCTGACCCTGACCCCTAACCCTGACCCCATCTCCCTGACCCTGACCCCATCTCCCTGACCCTGACCCCATCTCCCTGACCCCATCTCCTAACCCTGACCCCATCTCCCTGACCCTGACCCCATCTCCCTGACCCTGACCCCATCTCCCTGACCCTGACCCCATCTCCCTGACCCCATCTCCCTGACCCTGACCCCATCTCCTAACCCTGACCCCATCTCCCTGACCCTGACCCCCATCTCCCTGACCCTGACCCCATCTCCCTGACCCCATCTCCCTGACCCCATCTCCCTGACCCTGACCCCATCTCCCTGACCCCATCTCCCTGACCCCATCTCCCTAATCGTGTCGCAAGGACCTCTGTGAGACCACCGTTCCGGACCCATACAGGCGGGCGGTCGATGATCCCACTTGATGAGCTCCTCACAGACCCCCGTCTTTAATTATTATTCTAAACTGTAGTTTAACTCCTCAGTCCTTGCTCTTCCTCCCAGTAATGTGCCACTATTATGTTTGTCCCTGAGTCGGTCAGAAGCCCCGCCCCAGCTGATGATGTGTGTGGATATTTGATTCCTCCTCCAATCATGATGTCCGGTCACAGTGATGTCACTGTTATAAATGATGTGAGTGACAGAGAGACACACAGATCAACTCAAACATGAAGAGCCTGACGCTCCTGATCCTCTGCTGCATGATGACTGCGAGCCTGAGCGCAGGTCAGTGTGTGTGTGTGTGTGTGTGTGTGTGTGTGTGTGTGTGGTGTGTGTGTGTATAACTGTTTTCTGTGTGTTGTTCTTATGCAGGTATTCCTGACACTAAATCAGTGAGTCCTGCTGAATCTCCCAGTGATGATGGTGAGACACACACGAGTGTTGACACGTAGTGTGTGTGTGTGTGTGTGTGTGTGTGTGTGCGCGTGCGTGTGTGTGTGTGTGTGTGTGTGCGCGTGCGTGTGTGTGTGTGTGTGTGTGTGTGCGCGCTTGTTTGGGCTCCAGATGAACTTGTGGGAGCCGGAAATCTGAGTTACTCATTCACGATGTTCTTTATGCATGTGTTGTTAGATAGAAATGATAATAGAAATTTTGACAAATTATATCAAAATAGAATACATAAATACCTACATTCACACATATATAAAATAAAAAACATGAAATGCGATATTTGTCTTGTTTTCTATCTAAACTTTAAGTGAGTTTGTGCTTCAAACAAGAACAAATATCTGTCCATTATTAAACAAAATGATCTTGTTTTCCATGTGAATCAAGTTTATTTTTCAGACTCCATTGGCAGATATTTGCACAAACTCACTTCATTTTTCAGTTCACCGGACACAGGATCTTCAGTCACTGTGCTTCTCCAGTGCATGTGTCTTGATTTAAGAGTGTGTAGATGAACGAGACCGAAGCCCTGAGGGAGAACACACGTCTCGACATGTTCGTCTGAGCGACTGCATGTGGGCCTGTTCCTCAGATGAAGACAGGATGATGTCATGATCCTTTAGGGAAGTCAGGAGAGGGAATGAGTCTGAATGTCTCTTCACAGGTGTGTTCGTGAAGCGAGAAGAGGCTTCAACACTGGTGAGACAGAAGAGAGCTGGAGCCGCTGACCTGAGTTTGGCTCAGCTGGAGAGGTACACACACACACACACACACACACACACACACACATCTATTCATAGGAAATAACCACTATTGGTCAGGTGATTTATTCTACTTGATGATCCTGAAAACTATATCACCTGATGATCTTTTCTAGTTTCATTATGTGTTTTGGTAAACACTGTTACAAAGACCACAAACTCATATTAAAAACCAAGTCAAACTGACCAACTAAAGGAAATACTGATCACCATAATGGTGACCAAACATTATCAATAAAACATCAACGCCAGCGTACAACCTTCACTGTCAAGCAGACCTTTGCGTTTTTACCGTTTACACGGGAGCGCGGTGGTGGAGCGTTTTAAGATTTCCACTCTGGAGGGTGGTTTCACTTTTTTCCGTTTTTAAGCCTCAAAAACGCCGTCGCCGTGTAAACGAAAGGCACATCCGATAAAATATTTTTACGTTTTCACCCGCGAGCGTTCTCGTGTAAACAGGGCCTGTTTCTCTTTCCTTCAGTGATTCTGCTTGTTTGTTCCTCATTTATGCTCAATCATCACTTAATTATCTTTATGACACACACTCACTCAAACACACACATGCTCACACACTCTCTCAATCTCTCTCTCTCACACACACACACACTCTCAGCGGGTTTGGTGCGTATATCTCACACACTCTTGTGTTCTCTCAGTCTCAGGGAAGTGTGTGAAGCAAACCTGGCCTGCGAGCACATGATGGACACGTCTGGCATCATCGCGGCCTACACTGCGTACTACGGCCCCGTTCCCTTCTAGAGGTCCACAGCATCATGATGAGCATCTGTCAAAAGGCCGCTGAAGCTATGCCAAATAATAATAAACAAACAAACATAACACTACAGTGTTGTCTGCGAGTTCTGTTCAGTTTTTGTTTGGGATGGTTTATTATTACTTGTCACACCACGGTTAAATTTGCTGTAAACGTATGCATTTGAATGGTTTTTCACACTTCTAAAGGGAAGAGCATGTTTTTACATGTATCGTCACCTAGCAGTGTCAGAAATTTCAATATCAATATTTGCCCCCTCAATTATTCATTTTTAGGGGCATTTTTGTTTTATATTTTTATATATATTTTTCATATTTTATGTTAAATGCTTTAATTTAATGGACAAATTAATTTAGAATAATAAGACAATAGGCTGTTACGAATCAAACTCAATCAGTACCAACCAAAGAAGTTGCATCTGAATACTGAAGTGGAATTTAGATGTATTTACTAACTGTTTGATGCTGCTCAGAGGATTTACACAGCACTGGCATTGTGTGTTATGACATTAAAGTTTTAAATACTAAATTTTGAATAGCCTATAATTATATGAAATTAATGACAAAAGAAATGATACTTAGATTAAGAATAAGACTGCAAGTCTTATGAGTGAGTCAGTGAGTCGGTTCATTCAACCGATTCATGGTCTGCTCTTAATCATCCGCTCCTGTCCACTGGGTCACACAGCAGACACACAGATTGGAATAGTTCGACAGCTAAATAAAACCAGTGGTGTGCCAAAGAAGTAGTAGCATGTACAGAGTGAACAGCAGCGGTCCTAGTACTGAGCCTTGTGGTACGCCATACTGAACTGGTGATGGATAAGACATCTCTTCATTTACTGCTACAGACTGATAACGGTCAGATAAGTCTGATTTAAACCATGCTAATGCAGTTCCACTAATGCCAACATAGTTTTCTAGTCTATTTAAAAGAATGTTGTGGTCAATTGTGTCAATCTAATTAACATTATACCATGCTAACTTTACAAAATCTGTATTTTGATATTTTGAATGCGAAGCAAAACAAATCAGAATAGACAAAACACACCATAATAAACAATTCTGTACTTTATTTTTAACGATCACAAACGATCACCTAAACATCATCTTGCTGTAAAGAAAAAAGGAAGAAAAAACTGTGTTCGTGACTTTACTTTTCGTCTTCAATTGCATTAAAAAAACTCATTTATAAGTCGCTTTGCATAATCATAAAATGATATGTTGCTGGGTTCGGCAAGGGTAACTTTATCGATGAATGGTGTACCCTGGAATAGCCTACAACAGTATAGACCCGATAGCACATGTCTTATGTTTCAAAAAGAAAGAAAAAAAAAGAAAAAGATGTTTGCAAATGCTACCTTCATGTTGCACTGCTCTGTTGAAGTGTCCCTTGACATGTTTTTGAACTTTGAACAACTTTGTGGGTTTGAAATATATGGGGCCACAGAGTGGGCAGTGAAAATAACTGCAGCATTTATGACATATTTGTGTCAATGGCTTGTGTGTATTGCTGGCTACACAGATGAGTCCTAATATAGAGAGACCATCCAATATTTTCCGTTTTCTCAGAGTTTTTCCTGGGTATCTCTACGATACAGCATTGTTGATTTAGATGATTTAAGGAGTCCTTCCTCTCCTATAACGAATGAATTGTTTTTGTTCCTCAGGTTTAGAGCATGACTGATGCGACAAATCTTCTGTATAAACTTCGCAACATGCAGTTTATTATCATATAGCTTTTAGCAGAGCCGTTGAAACGTTTTCCAACGTTGGAATCTACTTTTTTGTAGATTTTAGTTGATTTAAATAATAAAAGCCCGGAAGTCGGAAGTGACGCATCTTATAGTAGTGGTGACGTGCTTCCGCTCAGGAGCAATGGCTCGCGCTGCTGGACTCGTTTGTTGATCAGTAATAAACGCGATTATTAGAAATATTTATTAAAGTGATTTGAGGTGAGTTTGACTTTTACTCTGATCACGTGCAGCTCCTTCACCCCGCGACACGTTCATGTTTATTATCCAGAGCTAATTCATAACATGAGCTTATCGGTTTACAGTAACGTTAAGTTTTTCCCACAGCGACAGTAAAGCGGATCCCACAACAGCACTCCTAATATCACACACACACACACACACACACACACACACACACACACACACACACAGTGCTGATGAAACGCTGTTTCTCATCATGTTTCTGGTGTCCTCGTGTCTCCTGAGGCACATGCAGGGTTTGACTCAGAAACAAGGGATGTTTTCGCGCTATTTACTCTTTTTACGTCATATGTTTACTATGTTCCACAGTGTAATGCCGAGAAATGTTATGATTTGATTAAACCGAAACATTAGCAGTTACAGTTGAATAACAATACCGCTGTAAAGTTATTGATGGTGAAACGTGTTTAATTTCTGCTGGAAAAGGCTTTGAGTCCAGAAGATGTTGCTTTAAAGACAAAAGCTCATACTGTAGATGATCATTTACTCTGGTGAAGGAAATAATCGCCACAGATGTTAGATTCACATGCATGTGAAGAGTGATTCTCTCTCTCTCTCTCTCTCTCTCTCTCTCTCTCTCTCTCTCTCTCTCTCTCTCTCTCTCTCTCTCTCTCTCTCTCCCCCTCCCAGCGTCTCATTCCCTCGCCCGTCTGAAGGAGTGTGTGACAGATGATCTGCTGTGTATTGATGATATTCCTTTCTCTCCTCTGTGTGTGTTCAGGTGAAGCCGCCGGACGGTCATCATCATCATCATCATCATGGGTCGCCGCTCCACCTCCTCCACCAAGAGTGGGAAGTTCATGAACCCCACCGACCAGGCCAGTGAGTACACACACACACACACACACATAAATAGTGTTTTGTCGCTGTGGCGTGAGATCGCTCTGGAGAAGCAGCAGCGCTGATCTCTCTTCCGGCTTAATAATACCAGTCACAGCGCCAAATAAACATGAATGAGCATCTGAAAGTGTGTTAAAGATAGAGTACAACTTATCCAAATCCGGATCATGTCACATTGATTCGCTCAATCAGCGTTTCAACCGTGGAAAGACGTCAGTTAAACAGATTGTAATCAATGTATCGTCATATTTACCTCAGAAAACCCACATAAACTCGTTAGTCAGCTAGAAAAAATAACTCTAGAGAGGAGCATTTTGCTAAATATATACACCATATTACATATGCATTATAATCTTAATGTTCTTCAATATTTAATGCATATTTGAATAAATCTGGCCACCATTTAAATGTTTATATTTCATATAATCTTCTTATTATAAAAATAAATAAAAGTGTAATTTAAGTGTTTGTATAGCTTTATATATCATTATTACCTTCATATTAGGCTAATGAAGCCTATCGGCTACTACTAGACTCCCATAGTTTAAGTACTCCCATTTAAGAGATTTGATTCCCTTGAGAAAAATGGACATTTATTGTAACTCATATCCAAAATAATCAATATTGAATCGAATCGTAATCGAAATCGAATTGCAAGCTTGTGAATTGAATTCGAATCGAATTGTGAAATTTGTCTCAATACCCAGCCCTACTGTCTCACACACACACTCACACACAGACACACACACTCACTCACTGTCTGTCTCGCACACATACACATACTGACAATCACACACACACTCTCTCACACATTCACACACACACACACCCACCAGATTACCTCATGAGGTAATAATGTAAATGACCTCTTACCTGTGTGTGTGTGTGTGTGTGTGCGTGCAGGGAAGGAGGCGCGCAAGAGAGAGCTGAAGAAGGTAAGGACACGACCTCTGACCCCGAGAGTGAAGCTTCAGTCAGTGTATTCATGAGCCGGTCAGTGTGTTAAAGGTCCCTGACATGGGCTTATTTTAATATTTTACAATGTTTTCTGGGTTGCCTTATAATCTTTTTTAGATCAAAATATTCATATCTTAGAAATTAAAGGCATTTTTCTAGCCTGATTTTAGCCTCTGATTTGAACACTCTGTTTGAAGGGGCGTGTCTGTGTGGGATCAGTGTATCCGCCCACTGCTGTGATTGGCTGTGAGTCTTCAATGTAACCGGACTAGGGCTGTCAAATGATTAATCGCATCCAAAGTAAAAGTTTGTGGGTGCACTGTGTATAATTATTTTGTATATATAAATACACACACACTCTTGTATATATTTAAGAAATATTTTCATCTATATACTGTATATAGCTTTATATATAATTTATATTATATATAAATAATATAAATATTTTATATATAAATAATATTTGTTCTTAAATATAGAAGCCTGTGTGTGTATTTATGTATATATACAAAATAATTATACACAATACACCCACAAACTTTTATTTTGGATGCGATTAATCGTTTGTCAGCCCTAAACCGCCCACTGCTGTGATTGGCTGTGAGTCTTCAGTGTATCCGCCCACTGCTGTGATTGGCTGTGAGTCTTCAGTGTATCCGCCCACTGCTGTGATTGGCTGTGAGTCTTCAGTGTATCCGCCCACTGCTGTGATTGGCTGTGAGTCTTCAGTGTATCCGCCCACTGCTGTGATTGGCTGTGAGTCTTCAGTGAATCCGCCCACTGCTGTGATTGGCTGTGAGTCTTCAGTGTATCCGCCCACTGCTGTGATTGGCTGTGAGTCTTCAGTGTATCCGCCAACTGCTGTGATTGGCTGTGAGTCTTCAGTGTAACCGCCCACTGCTGTGATTGGCTGTGAGTCTTCAGTGTATCCGCCCACTGCTGTGATTGGCTGTGAGTCTTCAGTGTATCCACCCACTGTTGTGATTGGCTGTGAGTCTTCAGTGTAACCGCCCACTGCTGTGATTGGCTGTGAGTCTTCAGTGTATCCGCCCACTGCTGTGATTGGCTGTGAGTCTTCAGTGTATCCGCCCACTGCTGTGATTGGCTGTGAGTCTTCAGTGTATCCGCCCACTGCTGTGATTGGCTGTGAGTCTTCAGTGTAACCACCCACTGCTGTGATTGGCTGTGAGTCTTCAGTGTATCCGCCCACTGCTG